AATTTTTCAAGGGGTACCCCTTCAGATTTTGCGAAATTTTCGTTTTTCCTCAATAACTCCCGAACGGATGGACGTAGGGGGGCGTATGTACGCTCATTTTGTAGGGGACGACGAGATCTACAATTTCTGTGCAAAAAGAATTCGCTAGCGTCAATAGTTAACGAGTAATTTGCAAAAAACTGTTTTTTCGTTTTTCGTCAATAACTCGCTAAATATTGATGCTAGCAAAAAAGTTTTACATGGAAATTGTAGATCTCGTCGTCCTCTACAAGAAAGGTCCTATACAATTTTCTCGTAAGTCGAACAGTTTAGAAGTTATTGAGGAAAAACGAAATTTTTTGCCAAAAGTTCGCTGTTTCGACGGTGGAACGGCCGGATTTTGTCAGTACCCATAAAATGCCAATTAATCGTGCTTAACTCGTTAAATACTTAAGTTAGAAGAAAAATACATAAAATCTTTCTTGTAGAGGACGTCAGTACCTTTTTCTAAGCTACATAAACTATTGGGATTGACTGTATAGCCAGTACATCCTTAATTTACCGAGCAATTATTTGCAGACCACGTACATGGATTTTCTAAATTAGAGAACCTCAGTTATAATTCTTACAATAATCATTAGTGTAACGGAATAAAAAGAACGAGGGATATTAAATTGAAATGAAAGAAGGATTGTTAAACTGGAAGTGAAGGGCAATTAGAGAAGCCGTCAAGGGAAGCGGATTGAATCCGCTCCTCGGAACTATTCCAAAGATCCTGGCAATTAGTTAGATCGACTAAACCGTCGTCGTCGGAAAATTTAACAGGGGGGGGAGGAGGAGGGTGTGTACGCCGCGAGGGGGTGGCATTTCGAATTCAAACGTCGTCGCCGCGATGGCGTTTGGCACGCGTTGACAAGTTCCGGTTATCTGCGATTTCGGAACGTGTCACACACCCTGCGTAATTCGAATTTTGATGCATTGGCCAGCCTCGGGTTCGATTGACAGCCGATTTGCCAAACGCAAACTCTGATTACCCAACCCCCTCGCCACTTCTCATTTAACGCCACCATTTCAGAATCTCGTCTTGCATTAGAAAACTAGTCGTTCTAAAAGAAATAAGGAGAATTTCTAGTTCATTTACTGAACTTATTTACACTACAATTAAATCAGATGCAAACTCAATTTACAGATTATGAAATATAAATGAGATACTCTATTTACTCTATTATCTTTTATAGACAGTCATAATAATTGAGCAATAATGCCAAGTATTAAAAATTGCTCCTAATATATCTTCCTATGTATGAACATACTTGAAATCGTCTAACATGTATTCATATCTCGTTCACGTGTAATATGAATTGGTACTTCCTATAAATTGAGAACAGAAAAAACACTAAAGGAAGAAACGCTCATAAAATATACGACATACATAAAACACTTGAAACTGTTATATGTTAAACCCTTCTTTTCCAAGCTATATCTTGAACCTGAGGCTTAACCTTAGACCTCTAAGACTACTCCCTGTTCCTCCTAGACTACACCTATTTATTCCTCGCCTTATCTCCTCTGTGTCCAAATCTAGTTAAACCCTTTGATTCAACCTGCAATCTCAGAAAGCATTAAACAAAATTTTCGCAGTTTCCCCTGCCCTTCAATTGGTGATAGAATCTGAAGAACTACCTTGACAACTTTTTAGCTAGTATTATGACATCGCGGACAAGGAGGGAGCCGGTTGGTAGTGCAGCGAGGAACGGTCTGACGCGGCACGTTAATGACAGGAAACCGGCAATATGAACTTGACGGCTCGGTACCGCATCGTGCACCACAGTAACGTACCGACAAACCGCAAGCTCCCTACCCTTGGTCCTCCCACGCCTGTTCTTACCCCCGGCGCGACTCCTACCCCTAGCCACCCTCTCATTATCTCCCGGGTTTATGCACTGCGGACCGGCTGCCGCGGCTCGTTACGGCCGGGGACGCGGCTCCCTCGTTAGGGGAGGATTTTCGCGCCGCGAAAAACTTTCCAAATGGACCGATGACCGTTCTAACGATGTTTTCTATTTTCCGCTCTTCTAATAAAAAAAAAACCAGTCTCTATGACTGATATCCTCTTTTTTCCAATCTTTTTAAATTCGATGGGGACAGCGGTTGTTGCTTGGTGATTGGTTTGATAGTTTTACTGAATTGATATTTGATATTGGTTATAGAATCGATATTTGATTCTATTTAATAAACTGATATCTAATACGATTTCTTGATTCTGTTCAATTGGAATTTGATATTCGTTGATTTGATGTTTGTTTCTGTTTGACTATCAATGATACAATGTTTGTATTTGATAGAACTTCGTGATTTACTGTTTGATATGATATTGATTGATTCGATATTTAATTTATATTGTAGACTAAAGTAATATTTGGGTAACTGGTTAAAATCCGACATAATTTACACATTTGCTGCTTGCACATTGAGACCTGGTATGAGAATAGTCGAAGAATTAATGTGGATAGAAACGTTCCAAACAGAATATTCATGTAACTTACTTCAATTTATCTTCCATTTCTTACTTTGTATTATAAAACCAACTTTCATTATTATAACTCACCAACTGATGGGACATGAACTCACAATTAGAAGAGTTAACTCTAAACAAGGTTCAGGCTTACCTGAAACAAAAATAAGAAAAAAATATTAACATATATAATATAATAACTAATAAAATAATGGATGGACTAACATATTCATTATAAAT